TACTAAGAAGGTTGTCATTGTAATCTAAGAATATGTTTGACAATTTACAGGAGAACCATGTTGGAGTTTTATTACCCAGGACTTCCACATGAAGAACATTTAGCTGATAGTTGTGCTCCTATCGCGCACCAGAGTGCTATAGCTCACAAAATGGGTTTAATTACATTGCAATTTTTAAATTTTTCGTGATAAAATAAAGTGATTGTTTGGTATTTTGAAAAGGTAAGTTGTTTTTTTTATTTCTGTATTCCTATCATTATATAAATGTACCTGATATTGTAATATCAACAACATTTTTCATAATATATTCCGAAATGGGCTTTCCCCTACTAATAATGAACAAAAGTTTTAATAACTTCTCGTTAATATAATTAGGTATGTAGGTATTTAGATTTTTATCTTGTTCTTACTACAGTGCTAAAGCAAAAATGTAGTCATAGTCTACTGTATTTTTTTTCATAGGGGTCATATTTTTTAACTGTGTGATAGCTTCTTTTATTGTTGCAACTGTTATAAACATTGTTAAAATACTAACAGACTTTTTGTTAGTTGTGATTCTCTCCGTATATGAGGCCAAGATTTCGGTTACAACAACCCAGACACTATCAAACAATTAGACGGTTTTAAAAAATATATTGTATCAAACAGAAAACAGGGTGAGGGTAATTATCACTCACAAGTAGCGTCAACTTGGCAAAATAAATTTAAAAAAACCCCATTTTTTTTAAGGAGATCCACTTGCCAGACACTTGTGTTGGAGTTCTGGAGTATCGCTTCGTACCTCGAAATACTTTGCTCCTGTCTTTAGTTACGTGCTAGAGTTTTGCTGCATCCATCCTACATGGCAAACTACAATATACCATATTTTGTTGCATGTATTCTCTATACATCATGTACTTTTACTTGGTGTTGAATTATTTTCTATTCTGTCGCGATTTGTTCCTTTTAATTAAATTTTATTTTACTTTTGTTTTAAAATTATAAACTTTCTAGTGGTAGTATAGTTATGTCTTTGTTGCTAATAATTGTTATTAACATGCGTTTATGAATCATCATATATATCATTATTATATATGTGTACATTTTCATAGTTTCACATTTATAAGGTTGTGTATTTAAAAGTATTCTATTTTTTTGTATCGTAGTGAGCCATTACTCAGATAACATATTTTGGTGTTGTATGGTAACTTAATGCTGTAATAAAATTCATGGCAGACGACAAGCGGTTTCATAACCACTAAACATATCTATTTCTTTATTGGTTTTGCATATATATATTTTACAGTTATGATATTATGTTCGGTCTTATTGTTTTAAATACTTTGTCGCTCGTATAAGCTATCATTATCTAAATTATATATATATATATATATATATATATATATATATATATATATATATAATTATATATATATATATAATATATATATATATATATATATATATATATATATATATATATATATATATATATATATATATATATATATATATATATATATATAAGAAAAAAGAAGTACTTGTGACTCGTTTGGAAAAAATGTAACACTGTTTTTGATGGGTTGGAGTCAATAAAAGGGGCTATTTGTTGACTATTTTTTACTCGAGCTTTCAATTCTGATTACAATTTTTATCAAGAGCTTCTAAAAAATACAAAATGTCTTACAAAGTTGAACTAGAAATAAAAAATTTTTTGTTAACTCACCAAATAAAATTAGTTTTTTATATAAAACTACTGCTTACATAATAAATACAAAAAATATTAATAAAAAAATTGTCTTATTCTAATAAATGTTTCTCTGAAAAATTTAGATGAAGTTTCTTAAGAAAAAAATTGAATTTATAAACAAAAATAGAATAGCTACAACCAGCCTAAATGTCATAAATACTAACTTAAAAAATTTTATTTTTGACGTATTGTCAAAAATAAAATTTTGTTTAAAAAATTCTTCTTTGTTTAGTAACAAAAAAGAAGAAGATTTATTCACCATTGATAGATGCCCGAAAAAATGTAACAAATACATGGAAAATTCAAAATGTGATATTTTACTGACTGCATAAATTAAATAGAAATTATATAATTATAAATTTTGCTTAAATTTTGAATTTCTGACCTTTTGTTTAAATTATTATCACTTTTGCTAATACAAACCATTTCCAAAAAAGTTCTTTTAAATTTATTACTTTCATTACATAAAATTTTAATATTATCAAAATCCATAATATGGTCTTTGTCTATTACATGCTCTGCCAAAGCACAAGATGGTATTATTGTCTATTACATGGCTATTGTCTATTGCCAAAGCACAAGATGGTATTATTGTCTATTACATGGCATGGCTCTATTTGGTGAGTTAACAAAAAATTTTTTATTTCTAGTTCAACTTTGTAAGACATTTTGTATTTTTTAGAAGCTCTTGATAAAAATTGTAATCACAATTGAAAGCTCGAGTAAAAAATAGTCAACAAATAGCCCCTTTTATTGACTCCAACCCATCAAAAACAGTGTTATATATATATATATATATATATATATATATATATATATATATATATATATATATATATATATATATATATATATATATATATATATGTGCAGAAAGCAACAGTTATTTCAGTTCGTACGATTTGCGGTAATTTATTTAATGTAATTTCTGGAATTTCACGTTTATACTCAGTTTCTGTTGTTCCGCTTATTTATCTGAGATATGTCACTTCTTTTTCTTCTTCATCTTTATAAGCAATTCTGCTTATTCATTGGCGGATTAATACTTCTATGAAAGGTTGTCACTCCATCTTTTGCGCGGTCGTCTGATACTTCTTCTGCCGATTGGTGACTTATCTCTTGCTATATTGACGACACGGGTCTCCACCATATGCTAATGTGGTTATTCCATTCTTTTTTTTTTTCTATTTTGTGTCTATTGGTTTATACACTGCACGTTACATTTTCTATTATGTCATTTTTGGTCTTACACTGGCTTTATAAATTGATTTCATCTCAGTGTTAATCTGTCTGTTTAGGCATATAGTGTTATTAAGGCATTCTGCCAGTCTGCTTTTTATACTTGATCCTCACTTCTTTGTCCAGGTCTCCATAGCTAGACAGTGTAGTTCCCAGGTATTTTATTTCCATTGCTTGTTCAATACTGATGCCATCAATTTATATTTTACATCTGGTTGGTTCTTTGCTGACTATTACTGTTTTAGTTTTCTGAGATAAGATTGTCATATTAAATTCTTTTGCTCTTATGTTAAATCTGTGCACCAGTCTTTGCAGACCATCTTCATCTTGGGCTATTAATATTGTGTCATCGGTGTAACAGAATATATTGATTTTTTTATTTTCCATTATGCATCATCTTCGTTTGTTAACATTACAACCTGGTTTGCACTGACAGTTTGATTTTCAAATGCACACTCTAGATGTTTTTGTCTGCCTTAGCTTTAGACCTTTTTGCTCAAGCGTCCATCTCCATTGTCCCAATCATAAATTCAATTATCTCTCCTTATCTCTTATTAACACCACATCGTTAGCATACATCAGACATCAAGGGATATCTCCTTGATATGGTTTCGTTAGTTTTTCCAACACTAATTAGAAGAGATATGGGATTAGCACTGACCCCTGGTGCAATCCTATCATGAAATTTATAATACATGAAATTTATCAGTCTCAACCTCACCTGTTCTAACATTAGTTTTTCATTGCTTGCCTTATGATAAAATTGCTTCCGTTGTTGATTTCCCTTGCATGAATTTAAACTGATTTCCTAATATTTTTATTTCTTCCTGTATCCTACCATCAATTATTCTCTGCCACAGTTTCATGGTGTGACAGAGTAGCTTTATGGATTTATAGTTTATACATAGTTTAACACCTACTTTGTTTTTGTATACAGGTACTAAAATGCTACTTCTCTATTCATTTGGTATTTACCCCACTTTCATAATTCTATTAAATAGTCCTGTTGGCCATCTTGTTCCTGATTTTCCTAATACTGATTCTACATATCCATGGATGTCATAAGGACCTATGCCTTTTTTTCATCTTATGTAGCTCTTGAATTACTTCCGCGGTCGTTATTTTCGGCACCATTGCCTATTACTGTCTCTGTTGGCTTTCTCAAACTCTTCTTTTAATTGGCCGTCTAAGAACTTCTTCCAGGGTTTTTTTACATCCCTTTTTGCATAAATAGTTTATTGTATTTATCTCATATACATTTAATTTGATTAAAATCTTTGTTTTTTTTTGCTCCACTTTTAACAATTTTGTATATGTTTGTTTCTTATTTTGTTTTACCTGTTAAACTACAAAGGGTGTACATTCTTGTTCTCGTTCTTTTTTTTAATGGAATGAGCTTTTGCTGATCCCATAGTTGAGTACCGATCATTAATAGGATATGTTGTTAGTAAAGGACCGAATCTGCTGGAAGCAAGGGATTTGGATAGTCCCACACTATCCAGAGGAAAAGTTTCGTTAGTTTTAAAACTTATTTTTGTTTTGTTGGCATTGGTTTACCCACAGACCAAATGAAGATATAAAGGTATTTGGATGTTTTCTGGGTTGGGTGTAGTCATTTCACTATTGTGGCTCGAAATAACCTGACATTTGATTGATGCTTGAATGCACCTTCTATCTTCAAATGAACCGAATTTTACCGATTCTTGTAAATATTGAATTTTAAAAAACTTTCACAATAGTAATAATTTAATTATTTTGCTTTTTTCAGAATTTTGAGAAATTGAGTTGAGTCCATTGAGTTGTTACATTATGATGTGAGGAAAAAATGTGCGTTTCAACATTTAAGTGAAGGAACCTTTTCAGGAAGGAATTTCAAAAGTTCATAACAGATACGGAAAAATTTTGTTGAGCTTCTTAAAACGAATTGTTATCAGAGGAAAAAGAGGACGGGCGTTCCAATTTTATTTCATAAAAGGACATTTAAATGTCATTCAAATTTTTTTATCGGTAAGAAGTAGTCATATAAAAAATAATGCTTTTTTTGTTTGCAACTTCTAAGTCAGAAAATTCCATAATTGGTTACCAAGTAGTAAAGAAGCATGTAACAAAGGCATTAGGAGATGCAACAAAATCGTTACTATTAACATTTAAAACTAAGAAAACACTTGGCCTATTCCTCAAATTTTCAATATATAAAAGATTGAGCTGGAACAGTTGGCATCATTTATGGACCATACGGAAAAACACACGCCGAGTTTTATCGGCTTTCAAATGATATATACAAAACAGCTAAGATTAGCAAATTACATATTTTATCCTAAAGTTATGGTATAGAAAAACGTAAAGGAAAAAGCTTAAGTGAAATTGACTTAGATGATGAAATCGTAGAAGATATTGAAAATTATGATTTTGAAAATGGTATTGGTATTGAAAATACTCTTCATGAAAGTAAAATACCACAATCATCCACAAGGATCCCTGAACCAAAAAAAATCCAGAAAGAGAAGATTATTACCTTAAACACAGCAGCAAAAAGAAACATTGGAATTTTTTTTAAATATGTATAAAAAAAAGGTTCCTCCAAAAAAACACGAAGTGGAGTGTTTAATTAATAAAAATTTAACCTTATTTAAGAATATAACATGGTCACAAATTAAAGCATACGTTTACAATAAATATAAACAAGAAAAATAATAACATATTGTATAGGCAACGTGCAGTAACTATAGATAGCAACCAAATAGGTGACACCAATAGCTGGAGTAAAAAACGAAACTTTCAGTCCTATCCGTTGTGCCGAGAGTTGTTTGTGAATTTGTTATCTGAAGAAAATATTTTGTAACATAATAAAAATTATAAAATTTATAATTTACGTCTTTCTTAAATACGTTAAAGGACAATAATAATTTAAAAATATGTTTTTTGTTTGTGTTTATATTACCTTAATTAATACAATAAAAGTTTATTTAAAATAAAGAAACTTTATTTACATAAGTTTTAAATTTATTGAATAGGCTGGTGGAAAAGTTAAAAGGTGAAGTAGAAAAGAAAAATAAAATGTATCATATTAAATAATTAGCAATAACTTGTTATACATACATATAAGTAATCAGAAGTGGCTAATAAGGAATTATTAAAAGATATTTAGAGGCAATTGTTACAGGTCCAAAGAATTCAGAATAAATTATTGAAAGAAAGTTTTATTATTTTAATTTTGGCTAAATAATTGTTAACAACTCCACAAGATTTCATAAAAAATGAATGCATTCCCAAGTCTTATTTGGTCTCTGAGATGATCTATTCATTCTTTCCTTGATTTTGTACAGCCTAAAACAAAAATAAGTATAAATTTAAATGAATAATTAAACTTTGAATTAAAAATAAACAAACCATAAAACCTATTTCTTATTTTAAAGGTTAATGTCAAAAATAGCTTGATGGAATTCTTCTTCTTGTAAGTTTAAACAGATCTCAATCCTATTGGTAGTACAACAACTTATTTTAAATAAATTTTTACTGGACAATGGCCGGCGCCAGATTAAAAAAACTTATCTTTAATTTTTTTCTTTTCCTTTCTTTGGTGGTCTTTTGTATGAAAAAGTATTGGTTCGTGTAGAACTTACAACGCAATTTTGCGGCTTTTCTAGAGTTTTCTTGATAGTTTTCCGAAAATTTAATAGTTGTAGCAGTGAGAAGCTGAGCAATTATCACCTATCGTGTGGATTTGTTTTCTAAAACTAAAAGAAACTCGATTTTATTAACTGATTTCGTATTAGAAACACTTTAAGGCCACATTTGAACAAAGGTAGGTTTTCTTTTGGAAAAAATAAATAACTACTTACGTTTTAAACATAATAACATTTTTTTAGGCTTTTTTTTTATTTTACTCTGTGATTTAATCCCAAACCATTTTGATCATCTTTTCAACTTACGTTTATAATCTCGTGACTCCTAAACGGATTGGCTATCAGTTTTCCATATTAGTTAGGATCGGATGATATCCAATTGTCCATAAGAGAGAAAGAGCCTAAAACATCGGATTAATAAAGGAAATAATAATAAATATTAAGTACTCACCTGGGATCGAGTCTCCAGTATTCAAGAAGATAGACTTTCTAACAGCTAAGTGGAAATTTATTCTTAATTTTGGTAGAATCGAACATTACACTAAATTTCTCAATTTTCTTGTATGACACTGTAATTAGAACCCCACTGCAGTGGTTATAAGAACTTGTTAATTAACCTTTTCAGTTTATTGTTCAACTATTAATTTTAAATTGATTTTGAGAAGAAAATCTTTAATAAAGACAAAAGTAACACTGGAAGAATTTATGGATTTATTGATAATCATTCTTTTACCCACTTCCCTGAGGGCTCTCCGAAAGAGCATTTACAATCATCAAATAACAATTTGTCGCCCAACTGTTAAGAAAAATACAATCCTTCCACTGTTACTTTTGTGATTAATTCTTTTTTCCAAAAATTGCACAATTGTTTAAATATTTTATTTAATTTCTAATGTTTATGATTTATTAACCTTACAATTTTGAAGTCTGTCAATCACACTGGCAATTTGAAAACGTCTATCCGTGGAACTACACTTTCCACAGAATTCACATTTTAGTGACATTTGTTTCGTGAACTTGGTGTTAACCAATGACGTATAATATATAGACTCGGTGAACGCTTTAAAAAGTGTCCAAAACATGAATACCTTTGTTATTGTTTATTGTTTTGATACGAAGATGCACGAAGTTCATGATTTCTTACGAAGCATCACGAAGTTGATCTTGTGTTTAAAACATCATGGACGTATGAAAACATTTTCTCCATTTTGTGTGACAAGCAAATTTTATTTTAAATTGTTGAGAGTTATTTACTTACTATTGGCAATTCGTCGTAAGCATTACGCCCTCTAGCGGCTATTGCAGTAACCGAGTTAAGAGCCATTATTTATTTTCTTTCACGTTGACCGTTGAAGGCCATTTGAAGGCACATTGTGTTTTGGTGTCATTGGAGATTATAATAATAATAATAAAGGTCTTTATTTTTCCTTCAAATTCATACAATACACAAAATATATAAAATTATACATGCATATAATACAATAAGAAAGAAAAAATGCCGAAGATCAGGTGGTGCTGATTTCAAGAAATCAGTACCTCTGCTTTTCATCTTAACCAAAAGAAAAAAAAATGTAATATTTTTTTACATGTTCTGTAACAATCAAATAAAAAACCATAACTAATAGAAACATTTCGCATTTAAATATTGTCCAAGAACTATCACACAGTTTATATATTTCATAACAGGTCATCAAATAGTTGCACATGTTTTAGTCACTTGGCAATTTAGATTGATTTCTTAAAAGATATAATCGATTTTAATTTTGTTTATTTAATTGATAGTGTATGTACTTTTGTACATATGATAGAGTATGTATTTTTACTTTCTAGTCCAGAATAGCGCTCTTTCTAGAAAAGATGCAGTTGTGCAAGTGAACACTCCAAAAGTGCTTACATTGTATGAAATCGTTAATGACATTAAATTAAAAAACTGTACTTGTGTACATAACTTCACTATTTATAACTGTATAGTAAATATGACTGAAAATTATATTACTTAAGGACAAACGAGTTCATAGGTTAAACATTCGACAGCCGATAATGTTAGTTCTTACAAAGTTCTTTAAGTTAAATTTGACTTATGCCACTTTGGGTTCTTTGTTTGGTATAACAGCTGACTTAACAAAAACTTATATTTATAAATTAATACCTATCTTGAGCCACAACTTACGGCCTTTGGTGTATTTTTCCACCAAAGGAGAAATTCTTAAAAACATGTCAGCTTGTTTTGTTGATTTTCAAAATGTTAGGCTAATTTTGGACTGTACTGACATTTATGTACAGACTCCAAGTGTTTGTGTTGCCGAATACTGTTTTATTCTCAATATAAATCCCATTTAACAATTAGTTTATGATTGGTGTTTCACCTGGTGGGTTAATAACTTACGTCAGTGAATTTTCCAGTCAAAATAAGATAACCGAGTTTAAAACTTGTTCTCCTTTTACAGCACATCTTGAATTTTTAGTACCACCCAAAAACTTACATATATTCTAAGATATTTAACTTCAGGACTAAAAAATAGAACTTTAAGTTCTTGTTAACTCTTTAACTCTAACAAGTCTATAACTAAAATAAAACTTATAATTAACAAAATTGTCTATTAATCAGCAGGAATAAACAATAGTCAAACAAAAAATATTGAATTTAAAAAACCATGAAGAAACGAACAAAACTACTCAAAAAAACATAAAACTAACGCAATCGCAATACAAGATGAGGTGTAAACAATTATTAATGGCTCTTAGCTCGGTTCAAATTGATACCGCATTGGCGCTGCGATCTTAATCCGAATAGTCAATTTTAGTAAAATGCCATACTATTTTATCAAAATAATTATTTCTCTTATAAACGGGAACAAAAAGAAATCATAAATATTTAATTTTAATTAAAAAAATAATTATTGTCATTAACATATAAATGAGCACGCCGCTGTTGTGATAAACATACCTTCAACCTTGAGCCGAGATCTTTCGGACACTTGATTCTATAGCGAGAATAGGGGACTGCGTAGTCTATATATTATACGTCATTGGTGTTAACCTTATATTTATAGTTCTACACCCGGGCTACGCACCGACGTTGCCATTATTTATTGTTACTTACAAATTTCTTTAAATTTGAGGATTTTTAATTTTAATTTCTAATTATATTATTTGTTAATGTACTTACTTATTATTTAAGGAGTTTTAAATAAACAAAAAGTTAATTTGTTATGGGAATTTTAGTGTTTCGAATTTTGGTATAATTCGAAGGATAAGATAATGGGTTTTGGTTGTCCCATTTTTAGTTCATCGAAAGATCGAAATTTGTTTTTCTGTCGAATTTTGAGTAATTTTGATACGCAAAGAAATAACAAGTGAAGAAAAAAAAAGAATTTTTTTTCTGCAAATTAAATTTTGTGTTTGTTGATAATTATAACTGATGTTTAGTTGGCTTTGTACTCTATTAGTATTTTGCAATTTTGACTTGTGACAGGTGTTTTCTTAATTAAATTAAAATAAATTTAGATTTAATTTAATTGAATAAAATTTGAAATTACTATAGAAATTTATTTAATTAAGAATTTAATTAAATATAAATTTATTATAGGAAGGATTTTGAATTAAGACTGAAATAAATTTAATTTTTTTTTAAAATCAATAAAATTTA